TAAAATTGGAATATTTTTAAAATCAGAATTTTATAAAATCAGAATATTTTTTAACGCAGAATACTTTTAAAATCAGAATGTTTTAAAATCAGAATATTTTTAGAAACGGAGTACTTTAAAAATCGGATTATTAAAATTTATTATCGTTCTTTGACTTGTCTGTTCCGTATTTGGAATTCCTTGAGTTGGCCCTCACAAAAAAAATGATATGAAAAAATAGTCTTAAAAAATATTTATACACATACATTGCCGGCAAAAAAACATAGGACTGAGGAGATATTTTTTCTATTCTGAGGAGATATCAGTTTTTTGTGAAATAAATTTGGGACGAGTTATGGATAGTTAAAGTTTCAGTACTTTCTGTGTTTTAGTATAAGGAAAATAGGGAAGGGAAGCCAGCTATCACCTTTTCACTGTCTAAGTTTTCTCCACATTTTATCACAAAAAGGAAATAGAACATTTGACTTAAAACGTTATTGGGCTAGGGACTGAATTGAGCCGGGACTGAAACTTCTATTTACTCTATAACTATATGCTCTGAACTTAAGGCCAATCCAAATTTGACAGGCCATAACTCATCAAAAAGTTAATAGGAAAAAAGCAGATATCAACTCACAATAGAAAGTCGTGGATTATTTATTCGATGGTATAAAAAAGTAGAAATTAAATAAGTTTTAAATTAATTTTAAAATGAAGGAAAAAATTGGTTATCAAAAATTAAAATTATAGAAAGTAAACATTAATATAAAAAAAGAATTAAATGAAAATAAAAACTATCGACATTAAGAGACAAAGGTTAAATTTGAAAAAAAATTTGCCTCTCAAAAAAATTTGCCTCTGCAAAAAATTTGCCTCTCCTCTTAATATTAATTCTCAGTACCATTTAATCCTTTATTTTAGATTTTTCTATAGAAAATAGTAGAACAAATAAAAAATGAAAAAAGAAAATTTTAAAAAATGGAGATTTTTTGCATTTATCGACTTCCAATTTTTTATTGGAGATCAGATAGCTGCGTCCAGTTGGTCCGTATCAGAAGAGAGAGTTAAAAATATTGAGCTAATCTTGAGTTTGCCAATGAGAAAAGATTCATTAGGATTTGATAAAGATTAAAAAAGTTATAGTCGATTAAATTCACCCTCCACCCCCAAAAACTTATTATCATTCCAAGAAAATGTTGAAAGTTTAAAATTTAGATTGTCTTTCATAATTGTTCCATTTTTGGAAGAAATTTTAAAGATTTATTATTACAATTTTTAAGACCAATAACCATCCAACAATTATTTAATACTCTCAATTTTACATTTAATTTAAAAATAAAATAACGAATAATTGATACAATTTTGAACTTAGGCTGTTTCACATCTGCTTTAACTCTCTCTTCTGATACGGAAAGGTTGCGAGGTGTCTGAGCTAAAAACGGAAGAGATGGGGTCATTCGATAGAGAATGTGCCCTTTCAAGCAAGAATTTTGAGCCGTTTTTGCCCTTTTTTGATCTTGCCAAGATATGGCCCTACAAAGTCACAAAATCTGGCATAATTTACCCCCCTCAAATACAAACATTAAATAATGTAATTTTGTTGTCGTTGTGGTGTAGCGGTGAGTGTGCTTGTGTTACCTTTTTTCTCTAAAAAGTTCGATTCTTTTTTGGGTTTTATACTACAAGTTTTACTCGATGTGCTAGCTGTAGAAATTTCTAGTTTAAAAATTTTTTTTATTTATTTTTAAAAATTAAAAAAAATTTTTTGCAGAAAAATGAATAAATAATGATTAAAACAATTAGATAAAAAAACCCAAAAAAGAATCGAACTTTTTAGAGGAAAAGGGTAAAGCAAATATACTCACCACTACACCACAACGCCAACAAAATTAACCCATTATTATGTTTATATTTGATAGGGAAAAATTCATTTTTACTTGGAAAGTCAATAAACTAATATTTTCTTAAAATTTACGAAAAGAATATTCGTAAAACTAACAAAACAAACCGAAATCAGTTTCTATTATTCCATGCACGATCATAAGTCTGAATTAAAAAATTTCCTTAAAAAATTTAAATAAAAATAATTAATTAAAATTTTGGAAGGCCAAGAAACAATAACGCTTGTGAAATTTTTTACCAAACAGAAGTCGATATTTTTAATTTGAATTAGCTTGGACCTACTTTTTTCCACCCAAAAATTGTGTAGTATCATTTAAAAATCTTTTAGATAAAATTATGTCGATAGAGTATTCTGATATTTATACTCATTTTAATTTATGTATTGAAACTTTTTTCCTAAATGCCAATAAAAAAGGGATAATCGAAAAAAATTAATTTAACAATCTTGGTCCTATCTTTTTTCCGGCACTGTATGTAAAATCGTGTCTGATAAATTCGATAGTGACTAAATTCGACAGTGGCTAATTTAGACAGTGAAATTCGCCAGTGACTAAACTCGACAACGACTAAAGTCGAAGTGAACTATTTTTTCTTTTTTCACCGTTTTCCTCGATTTTCAACAGTGATTAATTTCGATTTAAAATTCGACAGTAAATCCTAATTTTAAAAAAGAGAGTACTTAGAGTCAAAAAAGTGAAATTTTCATTGAAGGTAGATTCAAAGTCGGCGATTCAGCATCCCGTGTTGCTGCGAAACAGGCTAGTTGAGCCATGTTAAGTGAGTGCCACCGAGCTTTAATCGACTATAATTTTTTAAGCTATAATCCAATTCGAGTAAATAATGTATGATTCGAAAGCCCTCGATAAGCGGCATCTTTTTTCCAACTGATTGGTTCAAATCTGATCCTCTCATTGTCCGCTCTTGAATAAGTACTCATTCGACCACACTTCCCAATCCCGAAAATCCCGGATTTTGAAGTTCGAACTCCGAACTTCGAATTCCCCTATGGGGTCAGTTTAGAATTTTTTCGAAATTTTTTTACCTCAAAAAATTTCGAATTTTTTATCCAATTTTATTAAAAAAACCGCATGCAAAAAACCCTAACCCTTCCAAAGTTATGGCGATTTAAAAGATCCCGAAAATCCCCCAAAAGGGGTACCCCTTTTGAAAAATTAGAGGGGTCAAGAATTTTTAATTTTGACAAAAAACATGTTTTATAGTGTATTCGTACACGCTGAGTACGAATCCGTTGTCGGAAAAATTCTAAAAATTTTTTTAACAAAGTTAGAGTCTGAAAACCATTTCAGTACCAGACTCAAATCCCAACCCACAAACTTCGAAATTAGATATTTTGGCTAATCCCATTAGAATTCCCTTCTAATAAGCTTTCGAATGACTACTCATTCGAACATATCCCTTGAAATCTCAAATCCCGGAAATGTCGAATCTCGAACTTCGACTTCTAAAAGTTCAAATTTCGACATTTCTATAAATCCCAGTGAACTCCCCTCACTGCCTGCTCTCGAATGACTACTCATTCGACAATATTCGGAATACCGAAAATCCCGGATTTCGAAGTCGACTTTCGTACTTCGACTTTCGACATTATCCTATATCCCATTGATCTCCCCTCATTATCCCCTCTTGAAAGACTACTCATTCGACCACATTTCTACTAACTCTAAATCCCGGATTTCGAAATTCGACATCGAATTTCGACTTTAGGCTTAATCCTTTATCCCATTAGACTCCCCTCAGTCCCAGCTCTTGAATGACTACCCACACACCCACATATCCCACTCCCGAAAATACCGGATTTCGAAGTTCGAAATCTGAACTTCGACTTTCGACATTATCCCTCATCCCATTAGACTCCCCTCACTCCTAGCTCTCGATTGACTACCCACTCACTCATATCCGAAAATCCCGAAAAACCCGGATTTCGAAGTTCGAACTCAGAACTTCGACTTTTATACTTATCATTTATCCTATTCAACTCCCCTCATTATCCGCTTTCGAATGACTACTCATTCGACCATATTCGAAAATCCCTAAAAATCCCGAAATCCCGGATCCCTAATTTCGAATTCCCTTTATTCCCATTATTAATAAACTCTCCCTCACCTCGAAACTTGCTTAAGTTTCGAAATCCCACTTTTTCCAACCGAAATTTCACTAACCCATCAAAATTTCTCTCTCACCTATGAGATTTGCCCTTAGGATTTCCTCAATTTAGAGAAATCCGACAATTATCGGTAAGACAATTTTCTTACAAAAATTTTTGCCCCCCCATAAGTACCCCCAAGTTAGAATTTCGACTTTGAGATTTTTCCTACCCATATCTACCTGTTCCAACTTGAGTGCCTCCCAGCAGAAATTTTCCGATATCTTTATCCATTTTCGAGTTAATTTCAAAAAAGCCGAATTTTAAATCCCGACACCCACGACAATTCACCGGAAATGTCTGAATTTTTGCCCCCCAATAAGTACCCTACAAATTCGAATTTCGACTTCGAGTTTTTTCCTACTTATATCTACTTGTCCCAACTTGAGTGCCTCCCAGTAGAAATTTTCCTCTAAGTCCACTCAGTCCCGAGATATCCCCGGTACCTCTATTATTTAGGTACCATGGGGGTTCCAAAATCTTCCGTCCGTATTTTTCCCAGATGCCCCCTTGAATTTGACCCCGGACATGTCAAACTTGCATGCCCGTATCTATACTCTGGAAAGAGCTTTAATTTTTCCGACAAATTTTACCAATACTTTTATATAATATATTAAATAATAATATTTACTATTTTATCTTTTTTTAAAAATAAAAGTAATAAAAATAAAGCTGTTTTTAATTAAATTATTTTAAATATGCTGCAGAAAATCGGTTACATAATATAGGTATGTAACCGAATAAAATCGGTTACATACCCTTCTACTGATTCTTTAAAAATAAAGGGTTTATTTTTCTAGGAAATATTTTAAATCATTCATTTCCTTAAATTACCTTTTCTAATTATTCATAAAATTAATTGCAGTTTCAGGGTTAAAACCGAATTTGTGCAAAAAATAATTAAAAAAATAATTTTGAGGTATATTTTATTTTTAATTTCATAATTATTCTCTCATCAATATTTCTCTTTATTCATCAAAACATTATTTTTCTTTAATTCAATTGTAATTAGTACAGGTTCAGTAGCATCAACATAAATATCATTTAATGTCTTAAAATTAATTTTTCATTTAAATTAAATTAATTTTTAACCTCAATTTTATTAGAGCAACTCAATTTCCCTCCATATTCAATTATTTCACGTTCAGAATTTTCAACTCCCCCAACCATTGATTTTTCGTTTCCAAAATTCCATTTAAATCCTTTTGTCAATATTTTTGTAGTTCTTTGACGGACTGGGAAAATCCCAGCTTTTTTTGTATTTTCTATGAATTCCAAATTAATTTTTGTTTTTCCTTTAAGAAAATAAAAGAAATAAAATACTTAAATTATTATTAACCTGGTGGAATCATTACCATAAAGTTAATTCCATCTAAAGTCATTATTGGAATATCAGGATGTTTAAGTACATTTACTGCCTTTAAATTTATTAAATATTTCTGATTTTTATTCCCCAATTAATTTTATTTGTTTCTAACAATAAATATTTAACGACAAATGGTGGTTTAGATAATTTATGATTCTACTTCACACAATTCCCAATAATTTCCTTCTACTTGAGCATTTTATATGACAAAAATTTTTAAAAAGTTTAATCCTTCTTTAAATAAATACTACTTAGGTAGACTAATCCTTCTTACCAAAAATTAATTTAAATAAATAAAACCATTGTGTGTTGAGTACACAAAACTTTGTCCATACGTCCATGTGTGGGTCCCAAAAAAATAATTCCCTCAAATTGTTTTTCTTCTTTAGCTTTTTTCTCTTTAATACGTTCATTAATTATATCCATTGCCTTTATATAATTAAAAAAATTTTAAAAATTAAAATCAATTTTTAAACCTTTTCTTGGTCTGTTTTATGTTGACTTTGTACTTGAATTATTTGAACATTTGGACGTTCTTCAAAATATTTTTTAGTTTCAGCATTCATCGAATCCATATTCTTAATTTAAAAGAAAAATTAAAATAATTATTATTAAAATATTACTCCAATAATCATATCCGGGTCTTTAATTTTTCCATCTTTACTAATAAACTTTTTTAATTTATCTGCTGCTTCCTCCAAACAAATCTTCAAATAATTATTTAATTAATTAATTCAACGTTTTTTTTACTTTAAGAGAAGCTTCATTCCAAATATTTATCCAATCATCGGGCAATTCTGCAATTTCTTCTTTTCCAGATAATATTATGTTACTATCTGGCTCATTTGTAAAAACAACTATTAAACCTTTTGGATTTTCAAGTAAATTGTATTTATATTCCTTTGGTTCTAGAAAAAAAAACTTCGAAAAATAAAAAAATAATAAAAACATTTAAATAAATGTAGTATATTCAGTTAAGTGTTTAGAATTTACAGTTACGATTTAACTATTGATACATACTATTCAAATCAGAAACTTTCATATTTTTTATACTAAAATGTCTTTTATTCTTATCATAAATTTATTATTATTCTTAACATAATGTTTGAAAATTTGGATTTTACTTTTTTACTTTTGTTATGAGCTTCCAAACATTTTATACAAAGTATTTTAGAACCTACATATCCATTACTCATTGAATATACTCTTATTTTTGAGATTTAAATACAATGTTATTTAAAATAGAGAAAAATTACTCTCGAACCTTTAATTAAAGCAACAACAAAAGTTGTAATTATCAATTCAATTATAAAATAAATGTATTTCATTCTTTAAAAGCTTCTTTAAATTATAAAAAGTTAATTTTGACTTTTTTAATTATAATTATTTTAAGAAAGAAATGTATTTGTTAAATAATACGCTTAGAAGTAAATACTAAAAGCTTATTATCTACTATGATATTTTTGTTATTATTTTTGAGTTTAACACTTTTTTTTGTTATTAAGTACAATTAAAGTTATTTATTTTTTTGTTTAAATTTTATAAAGCTAAAAAGTAAATGTTATCGATATTTTTGTTATTGTTTAAAAAATAAAGGTAAATAAGCCTAAAAATATATTGGATAATAAACAATGAAAAAATAATGAGAAAAAACAAATATTAATGAGCAAGAATTAAATATATTTGCTGTAGCTGCCCAACCACATTTAAGCTAAGCCAAATGTTCTTTTGTTGTTGTTTATTTAGTTGATCAACAAAATAATTTTTTGAAATAAAAAATATTTTGCAGCTGAACTGTGTGGTAAAATTAGGGAAAATAAAGAATGTATTTAGCATATCAGGGCGAAGATAAAAACGTAACAGTGATAATTCGAATCGAAACAAAATAAAAAATTTTTCTAATTCGTTTCTAAGTGAAACGAAACGAATCCGTTTCGGACTAAAAGAAATGGAAAGAATGGCACGAGATAGCGAAACGAAACGAAATTTCGGCCAGTCCTGATACATAACATCTCATTGTCAACTAGAAGATCATAGCATCATCTTTACAACATTAAAACTATTGTAAATACGAAAGTCTGCATCATGAGAATTATATCAACATTTTTTTGTCTTTTCTAAACTACTTTTTTGTCAAATTCTAAATTCTAAATAAATTCTCCGTTTATTAAAATATTTTTTAAAGTGCATTAATACTATTAAATTCCAAGAATTTTAAAATTAAAATAAAATATTCGTATTTAATTGACATTTTTTATTGTTTTTCAAAATTATCTGTCTAGTTACCTTCGATGAATAAATAAACAAAATTAAATCAGAATTTTGATGATTAATTCTTTTATATTTAAAAAGAAAGATTCTCTCCCATTCTCCAAACAAACAGGTTTTTTTTGAAATTTTTTACACATTTGTATATCAGCCACACAATTCTATTTACTATTAATCAAAAACATTTTTTTATTATTTAATCATACATTTATTTTTATTTTTTTGGTTTTATTTTTCTCTCAAAATTTTTATTTTTCTTTCATTCATTCGTAACAGCTCTATTAAATAAATATAATCAAAATTATATTTTTAATTTCATTTTATGATTTAAAATAAATTTTTTATAATTATTTTTAAAAATATATATACCTAATATAGTAAATCTGAGCTGGGCTATGGGTACTTCTATCCTTCAGCTAGGGTGTTATCCATCACACTGCTGTGTTATCCATCACACCACGCACCTACTGCTCAGCCTTAGGAATTAAATTGCTTTATGTACAATATCTTAATTTAAAATTTAAGATAATTTTTTATTAACTGAAATTAATTAAATAAATAATTTAGAAATATTTACAAATTATTAAATTAATTTTAAAAAATGCCAAATCCTCGAATAATTCCAAGACAAAATTTCCACGCCGACCAAGAAGTCCATACAATTTACCAATTTTTTACTACTAAACCTGGAGCTGACCCTAATTATTATGATGACTATTTTTCTTTTTTTGTAAAGCCAAGTAATGCGCAAGTAAATTATTTTGTATTTAATTAAGAATTTTTAAAATTAAATTAAGCGTCAACAATTAAAAGAAATTTATCGTTCAAAATACGGAGGTGCTGATTTGGTTGAAGATTTAAAGAAACGCTTACCTCCTAGTGAATTGGCTACTAACCAATTATTTTTGGCATTATTGGATACTCCGGCATATCATGATGCTAAATATTTACAAAAAGCTATGAAAGTACAATAGATAATTTAAAAAATATTTTAAATATTTTTTAAGGGTTTGGGTACTGATGAGGATGCTTTAATTGAGGTTATATGAATTTAATAAACTGTATATAATGTGAGGTGTTGAAAAAATAGAATATAAGAATTAGGAATGGAGGATCCTGGGAAATCTCTGGATAGACGATCCGAGAATTCCCAGATTCGCCAACCATGGAATTCAATAAGCTACTGGAATATCTTGAATATCTATAATTCTTTTTTGCTAGGACATGGAGTCATGTTAGTATTCTTTAGATAAATGACTAAATCTTATTTTCCATTATTTATTCACAATTTTTTAAAAAGATTTTGGTAACTCGTGGTAACATTCAATTGAGACAAATTAAACATGCATATCAAGAATTATATGGAAAAGATTTGGTTAAAGATATTGCTTCCGAGACTAGTGGAACATTTAAAGCATTACTTTTAGATTTATTGGAAGCTAATAGAGATGAAAGTTTCAGAACAAGTCCAGAACAAGCCAAAATAGTTAAAATAATATTTTCAAAAAAAAAATAATTTTTTTATTTTAAAGGATGCTGATGCTCTATACAAAGCTGGAGAAAAGAAATGGGGAACTGATGAGGCTGTTTTTATTAAAATTTTGGCTAATCAAAACTTTAATCAACTCTCATTACTTTTTGAAGAGGTAGTAATAATAAATTATTATTTTGACACTAAAATATTTTGATCAGTCAAACTAATTTAAAAGTACATCAGTACATTATTTCCTAAACCAAAAATTATTAAAAGATTTTAATATCAATTAGTGATTAATATTTCTATTCATTAATCATTTATCTTACACATATTTTCTTGGCCTAGGTAATTTTCCTATAGAATAAATATTTTTTAAAATATAAAGATAATTTCTCAAAATTTCTTAATTAAATTCAATATTTATTTTTTAGTACCAAAAATTAACAAAACATTCAATGGAACAAGCTATAAAGTCCGAATTTAGTGGCGATGATTGTAAGGCTTTATTGTCTATTTGTAATTTTGTTCGTAATGGAATATATGGAGAAGTAGCTGAAATGTTACATAAAAATATACAAGTATTTAATTTAAAATTAATTCAAAATATTTAAATTAGAAGGGAGTCAAAGACGATACTTTAATTCATTTGGTTGTTGCTCATTCTGAATTAGATTTGGGGGATATTGCTGATGAATATTTTAAACGATTTAAGGTAACTTTTAATTAAATAATTTAATTTTTAAAAATATTTTTTTAGATACCGTTAGAACAAGCAATTGAAAAAAGTGGAAAATCGACAATCTTAAAACGTGCTCTTGTTTATATGATTAAAGGGAATAAATGAATATTTAAAAGAAAAAAATAAATAAGAATACATAATTAATTAATTATTTAAAATTAAGATTAAAAAATATTTTTTTAAATTAAAAAAAAACTTTTCTTTCATTTCCACAATAAACATTTCAGGTACTTTTCTGTTTTATGACCACACTTTAAAAATGTTTAAAAATGGTCATGAATATGGACAGACTATATGTCATTCGAAAGAGCTCTTTGAGCTGTGTCGAATGACACCAAAATCAACGAAATCTGACTTGATTTGACAAAGTTAAGATCGTTTATTTTAGCTCCTTAACTATGGCGCCCGTGGAGTTTTACGCTAAAATAAACGATCTTAACTTTGTCAAATCAAGTCAGATTTCGTTGATTTTGGTGTCATTCGACTCAGCTCGTCGAGCTCTTTCAAATGACATACATTTTGGTCATATTCATGATTTTTGACCATTTTGGTCATTGTATTTTTTGACCATTTCGAGCCCGTACCATTTCGAACCCCACATGATTTTGGTGTCATTCGACTCAGCTCGAAGATCTGTTTCGAATGACATATAGTTTGTCCATATTCATGACCATTTTTAAACATTTTTAAAGTGTGGTCATAAAACAGAAAAGTACCACCTTTCATTTTATTTAGTAAATACGTGGAAACAAACATTAAATAATTTTTTTTGTAAAACTTTTTCTTTATCTTAATAAAATATCTTTTATATTTTATAATGTTTTTCAAAGTGAAGATTAAAAATTTTCTTTAAAATTATTTTTATTTATTTATTCCAAGTACATTCTACAAAATATTTTACTATTTAATAATTAAATTAAAACGTGGAATAAAAAATAAATTGGGTGTAGAAATTAAAGTATTTTTTACTTTTTTATCTTCCTATAGTAGAAAAATTTTAAATATTTTGGTGTAAAATTAAAATCAGGGGTGGATATGACTTGCTTTAAACAACAAAATTTAGATGTTTATTGTAAAAAATCGTTTTTATAATATTTTAGACCGAAAATTTTTGAGAATGAATGATTTTTTTAATTTAAATAAAACTCAAAATATGTAGAAAACCAGGTTTTTTAAATTTGGATTAATCGAAGACCAGGAGTACCTGTTAATATTTGGTTGTGTCTAACCCTAATAAAATTTATAGAATTTTTATTAATAATTTTTATTTTTTGCAAAAATTATTTAATTAAATTAATAAAAATATTTTTTTGCTAATCCTTTTCAAATCGAATTTTAATTACGTAAATGCATTATTAATTTTTTTTAATTGTGAAAAATTTTTTTTAAATTTTTTTCTAAATTTATTTTAGAGTTGCCAATTATATTAAAATTCCTAGTTTATTTGTAAATCTGTTTTTTAAATTTAAAAAAAGAAATATTCTATAAACTACATGGTATAATACTCTTCAATTTCTACCATTTTCTACCAAAAAAATAAGAAAAACGTCAACAAAATCTATAAAAAAATAATTTTTTGGATAGAAAAAATATGACACGCGGCAAAAATATTTTTTTCTAAAAACTAGCGAGGAGGCATCCCTCTCAGCTACTTTCTAAAAATAATTTTTATTTAATAAAATTTAATTTATTCAATTCAAAATTTAAAAAATCATTTGTTTACACATCAATAGACATTGCGTAATTTAATAAATAACTTTTTAAATAAATTATCCTCCATATTTTATTTTAATTGCCATTCTTTTAAAAAAGGAATTAATTTTTAATTTATTTAATTTAATCTATTAGAGATAACAGTCAGTTTATTTTATCAAAATATTATTGCAAATTCTAATTTGTGAATTTGTTAGAACCTAATTGTTTTGCTTAATCAAATTATATTACAATAAAAATTTTACATTAAAAGTAAAATTTAAAAAATTTCTGGACCTTATTAATTCAAAAAGTGAATCGAAATCCTAATTATCTGAAAGAATTATAATTATCCTAATTATCTGAAAAAAAAATTCTATTTTCCTATTTTATCTAAAAGCTTTCAATATTTCTAAATTAATATTTAAATTTATTTTTATTTTAAAGGAAAAATGATTAAATTAATTCTAAATATTTTTCTTTTAACAACAATATTTTCTTTTATTTATTGCCAAGAAACAGAGCCTCCTTGTGAAGAAAATGGCACTTCTTCTGATCAAACAACAGATACACCATCTGTAACGAAGAAAATTATTCCTCCATTTGACTTTATTTTCCCCAAAAGAACTCCCCCGCCAAACTTTTGCCATGATGAATTAAATGAAGAATATTTTGATTGTATTGGATTATGCCCTCAATACAAACATTTTAGAGATAAAAATTGTGAGGATGTAGCTAAAGAAGAACAACAAAATCATATAACTACAACAGAATCCCTTTTATCGAAGAAACTCCATCATTTGTGTTTTTCTCTTCGTTGCTTTCCTGGCTGTCGATGCAAGGAAGGTCTTGTTCGAGAATTTTATGGGGAGAATGCAACGTGTATTTCACCTGAAAAATGCAAGGATGTCACACGTAAATTAAAATTTTATTTAAAAAATTATTTATTTTATTATTTAAATTTAGTAACAACAACTACTGAGAAAAATTGCGAGGAGAATGAGAATAATTGAAAGGGAAATAAAAATATGTTAAACAAAGCTTTTACAAACCGATAACCTTTGATTCAGTTTTGACATTTATTCAAAATTAAATTTTAAAAAATTTTCCAAATATGAAATTATCGGTTTTAATGTTTTTAAATTTCATTTCGTCCCCATATTTGTTATCGGATTGTAAATCCAGCTTTGTCTAACTTCTGAAAAATGTCTAAAAATATTTAAAATGGGATTTTCTAAAGATATAAATTTAATTATTTAAATAAATTTAAAATATTTATTGATAGACATATCTAACAAATGATTATTTTAAATTTTTTGGTTATTTTATAAGTCTTACTTTAAATATTTTTAAATTAAGATTGCAACAGAAACACAGATTAAATTACTGATGTCTACCGTATATACTGTGTTAAATACCCTCTCTTAAATGACTACCCCGCCTCCATTAAATACCCCCTTTTGTGAGAGATCGAAACAATAATTACCTAGAGTATTTAATACTATATTTACATTAATTTAATATTTATGTTTAAAAATTTTTATGTGTACAAATTACATTCTTTAAGGGATTAAATAATCTAATCTAAAATTAATTAATAATTAAGTAACATTATTAAGATAATCTTTATGTGAAAAATTATCAAAACGTATGCCAAATTTTGCAAACATTTATTTTCGCCATTTCGCCAACTATCATGAATAAAAAATACCTTAATTTATGATTAATTGTTGATCCGTTTCGAAGAATTTATTGTGAGATTAATAATTGGTCAAGAAGTTTATAGATTAAGATATAATTTATATTCAAAAAGCAAATTAACTCACTTCAATGCTATATAGTAATTAAGACTGATCAATTAAAATATAATATCTGCCAATAATAAACACAACAACCTTTATGTACTATATAAATATTTTACTATTAATTAAATTTTTATGTTAAGTGATTTACATAGAATTTAATGGCTCATTTAGATGACGATATATTTATGTAATTTTAAATTTCGTATTTAATAATTTAAAATTAAAATGTATTATACTTTTATAATGAATGTCAAATAAATACATACATATGTGCTTAGTAGTGATGCTCGGGTATCCCGATCCCGACTCCCGACTCGGGAAAATTTCCCGAGTTTTTTTTTTTTTTTTTTTTTTTTTTGGCCTCCCGATTTTTTTTTTTTTTTTTTTTTTTGGCCTCCCGATCCCGTTTTTTTGGCCTCCCGATCCCGATCCCGACTCCCGATGTCAATTCCCGACTAAGTCGGGAAATTTTTACACCCCTAAGAATGACTTTTTCTGGCAAAATTATATTTTTATTTATAAAAAATGAAGAAATCTGGCCTCTTGGTCTTCCAAAATTCCCAAAATTTTCGCCTGCGGCGCTGAAAAGGGAAGATTTTTGGCTTAATGATCTTCCAAAATCCTCAAAATTTTCGCCTGCGGCGCTAAAAATGGAAGAAGCTGTGGAGTTGTAGTATAGATTTCTGTGATTTACTAGGATTTGGTGAATCTGAAGAGATGAGGGATCTGAAATAATAAAGAGAGATATTAATGGATATGAGTGATTAATGTTGCATAGGGGGTGTTAATACTATAGAGGGGATATGAAGAGTATTGTGGTCAAATCACTAAAATTCCACCAAAATTGAACGTAAAAATATTTTTCTCTGTGTCACTCTTTTTTCCTCTATTTCACTCCAATGGAGTCAAATTTTCAGTGCCACTCTCAAAAATTTTAAAAATATAACCTTCAGTTCTGGACACGGGTGTCCAAAATTTTCGGTTCGGATATCGGATTTGAATATCCGAGGATTTCCGACTATCCTACAATTTTATCAGAGAGTCTGGGACGATGATTATGATTAACATCTTTTTTCTCGTGAGAACGATTTAAATTTAGTATTATTTTTCATCTCCAAAGTTCTCAAAATTTTTGCCTACAGCGCAAAAAATGGAAGAAATCTGGCTTCTTGACCTAAAAGTTCTCAAAATTTTCGCCTGCGGCGCTAGTAAGGAAGATGCCTAGCTTCTTTACATTCCAAAATTTTCAATATTTTCACCCACGGACAAATATCGGAAATTTTTGGCGCCGAAGGCGCCAAAATTTTTTTTATTGCTAATTCCCGACTCCCGATCCCGACTCCCGAGGTCATTTCCCGACCCGACTCCCGTTTCCCGATTCCCGGGTTTTTTCTTCTCCCGAGCATCACTAGTGCTTAGTTCCTCATCTCATTAAGAATTTTGTTACTTCTTATGCTTTATTAATTAATAACAATTTATTTACTAGTTAATAACCTTTTATCCATACAAAATTAATATTTAAACTTATATTCAAGCTTGAATTGTTCTAGATAATTATTTTCGAAAAATGTGTGGTTAAATTATTTATATTAATATCTCATTCAAATAAATTTTAAAAATTAATTTAAAAATGTAAATTAATTTTATTTTAATTTTTATTTTAAATAAAAAATTTTTAAATTCAGAATAAAATTTTTTTAAATAAATTTTACTTTTAATTCAATAAAAATATTGTTTTTCCTGGTTTAATTTATTTTTTGTTTTATTATTTAATGTTTATAAAATTAAATTAAAATTGTTTTTATTTTTCTTAAAATCTGTAAAATTTCTAATCTAATTTTAAATATTTTTTGCAAAAAATAATTAAAAAAATATCTTTAATTAAATATTCAACATAATAATTTTCTTTAATTTTTTATTCTTCTATGTACTAACATCTAATTATTTATTAAAAATATTTTTCTTTCTTATTGTTAGCTTTTTTTCTCTAAATAAAAAACTAATAAAATAATAATTATAAAATTTAATTAAAAGTTTTGTTTAACAATTCTAAGTAATTTATTATTACAGTAAATATTATTTTTAGTTAACATTAATAGGCCCTCAAACAAAAATACCCTCAAATAAACATCTGTCACAGTTCTTATTTAAAATTATCAAATAAGCACTTTTATATTTAATAACTAGTATTCATTAAAAATATTTGTCATATTAAATATTATTTATCAAAAACTTATCTGAACTTTTTTTTTGACATTTTAATTGATAAAGCCGTGATATATCGAGTCTGTACTAATAAATATTTAATTAAATAATTAAACAGAAATTTAAAATGGAATTATATTTATTTCGTCACGATCAATGGGAGAGCCTTTACAATTGTTCTCAAATAAATGTAGATTCTATCCCGTTTATTATGCGTTATCATCCACTTAATGGCTCTATCATAATTTTATTGTTTATTTTCTTTGAGGTATTTAATTTTTAAAATTTTTTGAATTTGAAATAATTAAAAAAATGATTAAAAAAATTAATAATCATAAATTTAAAATAATTAAATAAATATTTATTTAAATTAGGTATTATACTTCCCATGTTTATGTTCAATTTATAAACATATGGAGCATTCCTGCTATAAATTTCTTTTTTTCATTGGAATTGCTGATATGTTAATGATGTTTATACAAGGATTGGAAACTGGCGTTTTTAATTTTACTGGAGAAATGTTTTGTCCGAATGATAAATTTAATTATATTACAGCATGTTTTGCTGGGGGTATGAGTTGATTTTCAATCAAATAAAAACAAAATTTTAAGCACTTTTTGCTCTGGAATCAAGTGCAAATTTCTTCCTTGCTTTGGATCGCTGTGCAGATTCTCTTTCTCCTAAAATTTCAAAATTTTTCTTTGATGGTGCTGAATATTTTTTTCTATTTTTAAATTACAATTTAAAGGCAAACGTATTTTAATTTGGATGTTTTTCTCAATTAGTTTATCAATTTATTATTTATTTTATGCTAATCCTGGGATTTATGATGGAGTTAATATGAATTGGTTTATTAATCCGTAATTTATTTAAAAATTATTAAATTAATCTAATAATTATATTTTTAGATTTCAAAGCTACCCAACAGTTAATGTTAATATAAATAACGTAAATTTTATTTTTAAATTTAAAAAATAATCAGACCCTATCCCAAAAGAAGGGTCGAATCGTTTTTTTCCTTACTTTTTATTTCTTTATAAAAATGGTCAATTTTCCTTAAAGTTGATGTGTGTTGATGTTTGCCTTAAGAAAGAATGGAGAAGGACAGACAATGACAGATGAGACGACGGACAGACAAGACACGTCGTGTACATCCTTGTTTTGTCCGACCGAGTCTGTCCGTGTTCGTCCGAGTTTTGACTGTCCGAGTTCGTAAGACAAAACACGGACGAACTCGGACAGACAGAACACGGACGGACCCAGACAAACAAAAAACGGACAGACAAAACTCGGACGACACGGACGGACGAACTCGGACAGAAAAAACACGGACAGACAAAACACGGACGAACTCGGATAGAAAAAACACGGACAGACTCGGACAGACAAAGATCGGACGGACCCAGACAGACAAAAAACGGACAGACAAAACTCGGACGAATACGGACGGACGAACTCGGACAGAAAAAACACGGACGAACTCGGATAGAAAAAACACGGACAGACTCGGACAGACAACACTCGGACGAACACAGACAGACTCGGACGGACAAAACAAGGACGTACACGTCCGTGTCTTGTCTGTCGGTCGTGTCTTCTGTCATTGTCTGTCCTTCTCCATTCTTTCTTAAGGCAAACATCAACACACATCAACTTTAAGGAAAATTGACCATTTTTATAAAAAAATAAAAAGTAAGGAAAAAAACGATTCGACCCTTCTTTTGGGATAGGGCCAATAATCATTTTAAAGTATATAAATCCAATGACTATTTATTATGATACTTTTTTGACTTTTGGATTTCCGGCATTTTATCTATTATTTATTTTGCTATTCCTTTTTCGATTAAAAGAAGTTAGGGCAATTTCAAATGTTAATCAGAGAAGTTGGAAAATATCGGTAAATAAAAAAGGGAATCATTCTAAAAATTAAAAATAATTTTAAAGATGTTTTTCCAAGTATCAATAATTATTGGATTAAATATTTCTTGTACTCTTCTCTTTTCAATTATGCAGTATTTGCCCATAAGTCAAGCATTAATTTTGTTTGGATATTATACCAATTATTTTGTTTTTGGTAAATTTGAAATTTTTTTTCTGTTTTTTAAAAAATTTTTACTTCTATGAACACAAAATAAATTTTTATTCATTTAATTCAAAACAATTTTAAACATTAAAAACAGGTTTCCCGCCAGTTATTTATTTAATTTTCAACAAAACAATTCGAACAGATTGCCGAATAATGCTTGGAAGTATTTTCTTCTTTTTGGCTTTTAAATTAGATAAACGCCAATCTGTAGCCAATAATATCCGTTCAACTACTCGAGTTAATCCAATGCCAAATCAAATTTCCTGTGTACGTTCATACCCAAATTTGACAATAAAACATTAATGAATATGTATATTGAATTGAAAATGATAAAATTTATAAAATACCTATTATAATGTACCGTATTTCTCTATTAGAATGCCACTCCCCAGTTGAATGCCAGTCTCTAATAGAATGCCACTATCGAAGGTGATTGAAAAATAGAATGCCATGGCATTCTAATAGAGAAAATACGGTATATTCAAAATTAAGAAATTAAAAGCTAATTGTAATTAATTTTTAAAACCTCTTATGGATATCCAACATTTAATATATTTTGATTTATCCATAAAAAGTACATATTAATTGTAAATAATTTGAAAGAATTCTCATAAAAAATTTTTTTTTATAATTTTTCTTTATTATTAAACAAAATTTAAATAAAAACCTATTTCCTTTTTAATATCTATTTGTGTGGTCTTTTAACAAATATATACTAATTTAAAGTAAAGATTAAAATAAGATAAATTATTTTCGGAATTTATTTTATAATTTTATTCTTTATTTTTTAATTATATGCCTAACTTTAATTAACGATACAGACAAATAAATACTTAATGTGGATATACTACTAGAGGTCCGGGAAGAAGATTTGGACTCTTAGAATTATTAAAAAATTAATATATAAGTTTGGTATTAATTTAAAATTCAAGTAAAGTCTTTTAAATGGTGTGGTCTTTTAAATTTTACAAAAGTTCTTAATTAAACCGCTAAAATTTTGACATAAAAAAATAAAATTTTTATACTTTAGATACTCTTTAAATTAAATAATTTGAAAATTTAAATTATAAAAATGTCACAATATCACCAAATCTCTTCTAACGAAATTGACAACATTTCAGATAAAAATGAAATAATTTTAACAAATATCCACTCAAATAATAATAAATTTAAAATAATAATTAATTCAATAATTATAATAATTTTAATTTTATTTATTTATTTTATATTTTTAAAACAAATTGAAAATAAAAATAATAATAAGAATATTACAATGATTTTGCCTAAAATTCTTTTGGCTAATAATGAAATAAAAACAAGCAAGGTGATTTTTTTTGGCAAAAATTGACAGATTTAGGCGATTTAAAATTAATTTTAATTTATTTTTAATTTAGGAGGCATATGAACAAATGACTCTTGTACAAAAGAAAATATATTTATTGAGATTATTTGAATCAAATTTAACATCAACCACACCAAACAGTAAAGAAGAAAAACGTATTTTAGAAAGACAGGTTTATTTTTATATTTTTAAAAAATTTTATGGAAAAAAGAAAATTCGGTTTGGTATTCAGGGAGTTTAAAAATTTTAAAAATGTGTTTAAAAAATTGAAATTTTTTTATGTAATCTTTAAAAAATTACATATGCTCGAGAAAGCTCGAACCCTAATGGTTTTTGAGCATTAAGAACTAGAAAAAAATAAAATTATATGTATTTGTTATTTTCTTTCAGGTAATTCGTCATTTATCAACAGAACAACAACTTTACATCCAAAATAGGAAAGAAAAGGAACTTTTAACTATGGGGGAAAAAATTCAATCTGCATTAAATCGAATACAAAATCCGGATAATTGTTCTAATTCACGTATTCTTGTATGTAAGGTAAAATAATAAAAGTTTTTAAACGAATTTTTTTTCTCTTAAAAACTTAATTTTATTTAAATATTTAATTAAATAATTTTACTTAGTTAGAGCAGAATTGCGGCTTTGGGTGTGTAATGCATCATGTTAGGTAAAATATTTTTTAAATTTCATTTTTAAAATTTACTAGTTATTGTCTTTCAATTGCTTCTGGCGCAGGTCGAACACTTATATTTGAGGATGAGGGTAGTAAATGGGCATATAATGTCCAATGGAATGAAATATTTGAACAAATAACTAATTGTAGTTATTTAGAACATGTAAGTATTGGCATGGATGTAAAGACTTTCATGCTTTATTTTCAGGTTAAACCATTTCTTCCAATACCACTGTATGCTGAACCTGGGCAGCCTGATAGAATAGTATTTTTGGATAGACGTTGGGACATGTGCAGGGTAAAATAAAATATTATAAATTGAAATAAAAAAATCGAAAAATAATTTTTTAGAAATTTTTTGGGAGAAAATTTTTCACAAAAATATTTTTCAAAAAATGTTTTTGGCATCCCTAGTTTAGTCATCAAAATTTAATACTTACCTATATTACCTATTTATAATTACTATAATATTCACTTAAGGTAATGAAAAAAGAATTACCTCATGCACCAGAAGTAGCACCATCTGAGATTAAAGATTTTCTTTTGGAAAATCATCCAAACCCTCCACTTTGGTTTCTAGGACAAGTATTGAATATAATTAAATTAAATTAATATTGAGGTTTCAGTTAATTAAATATGCTGGGAGAGAAAATGAAAAAACAAAAAATGAGACAAATCAAATTTATTCAAGAATACCCTTTGAATGTGGTAAAATATTAAAAATAAAAATATTTTAAATTTTATCATTAAAATTATGATCGAAAAAGATTAAATTATCAGGATTAAAATCATATTTTAATTCACTAAAGATTTTCCAACACTTAAAAGGTCCAATTGTTGGAATCCACGTTCGACTAACAGACAAAAAAGCAGAAACTAAATTACACAATCTTGAAGATTATATGGTTTATCAAAAAATCTAATTTCTAAATAAAAGTAAAAATAAAGGAATGGGTAGATTTTTGGTATGATGTTATGGTTGGACCTAAACAAAGTCTAGATAATGACCAATTAGTAAATTCAAACTGTACAAATAAACGAAAGCTTTTTATTGCAACGGACGAACCAAACTCTGTTTTAGAAGAAGCTAATAGAAAATGGGGAAATAAATACAAAATTTATCACGGCAAACAGGATTTACAATGTAAGAGATAAAAGTGAATATGTATAGTTTAGAAAAGGAATTAATTTCTAAATTATTATATGTATTCTGATTCTCAATACTTTATTTTTTATTTTGGGTATAAAAAGTTAGAAAAATAAAATAAGACTTACCTAAATGAGGATAGTTTTATGGCAAAAGGGAGATTCAAAAAAAACTGATAGGAATGGTTAGAATTAAATTTTAAAATTGTTATTGAAGGATATTAAAAAAGCTCGTTTAGTTTTTAATTAAATTTTGTTAACAATTAGTTTTGTAATGAATATTAGAATATTTTTATTAGATGGATATCATCATGATGATCCTGAAAGGATATCAAGGGAAGCTTTAATTGAATTGCTATCTGAACTTCGTATTCTTTCAAACTGCCAATTTGTTGTTTGTACATTTAGCAGTAATGTTTGTATTATTTAAATAATAATAAAAGTTTTGGATTTAAAAATAATACATAGTGAAAATAATATAGGGAGGAAAAGAGAATGTTTAAAATTTCATATTTATGTTAAATTTTAATACTTTAATACAATTATAATTTTTATACTCCTAGGTTTGTCGTTTAACTTATGAACTTATGCAAACCATCAAAGGTGACGCAACTGAAAATGTACATTCATTGGACTATTTTTATGCGGAGTATTGGTTCGGTAAGGAAAATTTGTAATAATCCGTTTATTTTGCCACCCAGAGAAATCGGGCAATAGAAGGCTTAATATGTATATCTATTAAAGCCATTGGTGGGGAAATATAGCTTAAGTGGATTATTCCCAAAAATTTCTAGTTCATAAAATGTAATTAAATTTTCTATTCGCTAAGAAATACAAAAATAAATAAATAAAATTTAATAAAAAATAAAATTTATTTAGAAAATGAAATGGAAGCTATAGCTGAATATAAGCTTATACATGGTATAAAATTACAATTTATTTTAGATTTTATTTAATTAAAGCCGGGTTTGGATTTAATTAATTTGATTTAATTAAAGTACAGTGCTTTAAAATAGACTCTCGTGCTTTAAAATTTAAATTGTTAAAGTACTTTAAAAAGCAAATATTGGATTAAAGATTCAATTTTTGAAAATAGTGTACAGAAAAAAGCGAGGAATTTGCGACAATAAATCCTCAAATTTTATTTTGTAACATATTTTTATTTGGAAGTTTCTGCCTCTTACATAAATATTTACCTTGCAGTTAACATTTCTGTTAACAACTTGAATTTTTGTTAATCCGAACCCCGAATTAAACTATTAATTATTAAATAAATTTAGAATATCCTTTGAGTCCTGAGGAAATTGATGCCGAAAAGGGAGATATTATAGGTAATCTTTTAATAAAATACTACTATCACGAGACATACTTTGTTGAATAATGTTATCCTTATCGTTATTTTATCTTTTAACTTTTTTAGTTGTTAAAACTCCAATACTTAACGATGGTTTTATTCGTGGAAAAAATCTTCGTTCAAATGGCGAAGGACGTTTTCCGATGTATTTACTTAAAGAACATTCTAGATTCGAAAACTTTGCTGCTTTTATTAATTTAACATAAATTTTTATATATTTTGTTTTAAATTAAATTGATTCGATTGTTTCAAAAATCTAACGAAATTTACTTTTATCATAGGGAAATAGATTAGAACTAGCATTGAAAATAAATTTTATATTGTTATAATGATGAATCTATTTCAAAACCAGATCTAGAATTTTAATTATTCCCCAATTATTGACAAGGCAGAATTTCTAAAGTATATGATCTATACAACATCTGAATAAGGTACCTCAGAATAATATATGATATGTCTAATATATGATATGTCCCAATAAATCAATTATTCTTGTTCTAATTATTTTAATCATAACTTAAAAATATTATTTTATTTTATTATTCTTCAATTTATTCAATAATTTAAGTCAAACCAAATTCATATTTATTTTTTGTTTTATTTTATTCAAAAAAGAGTAAAATTCTCCATTAGTGTTTTTAAATCATAAACTACAATATTTATTTCTAGCTAATAAAATTTACCAACTTTGTTTAATTAGCTGTCAATAAATATTGATAGAATTGAAATAAATAAATTTTATGTTTTAAAAATAAATTTAGCTTTAGAGAATTAGAGAAATCTTAATTAACGACAAGGTAAAAAGACACTACCGTATTTACTCAAATAATTACCCTGGGTAATCATTGTTTAGTACTCTCGCTGGAGGGGGTAATTAATAGGGAGAGGGTAATTATTTGAGAGAGGGTAATTATTCGAGTAAATACGGTATATCATTTAGATAATGGTTGATTTTGGCAAAATTCAAGTAATCTGTAGTGAATATGGAGGTAATAAAGGAATATATTGTTATGTATTTATTTGGGTACTTTGATTAATATCCCACCCCCACCCCTATTTGAGTCAGATTAATTTTCCCTTTTACTGTCAATCATTCTTTCCCTTATATTATAAATTTTAAGTAAAAGGTAAGTTAAAAGGAGAAAAACTTTGAAAGGAGGCTAATGGTTGATTGACCGTCATGACTTATTGGTAAAACAAAGAATAAGGAAAAATGAAAAATCAAGTAAATCTCTCGGTTACTCCAAATTTTTAAATTTAAAATTTTTCTAATTTTAAGATGTTTTAATATTATATTTAATAATTAAATAATTTTTTATGAATTTTAAATTTCAGACTAAAAATTTTAGTTAGAAATTATTAATCAATTGTCATTTATTATTATTTTTTAAGTAAATATTTCCAAGAATAAATCTATTTAATTAGCCTTATAGTGATGAAGAGAATTCCACGTATTTTTTTTGAGACTTTTTTTTCTTTTTTTATTTATTTAACTCCTGCGTCACTTAAACAAAGTTCTGGTACAAAAAATGAATCAATTAAACTCACTTCCGGTCCTTTGAAAATAATTTCCAAATATTTTAAATTATTTTAAATAATTACTGTAGAATCTCTAATAAAATGGCTCTCAACATATAATGGAATGACCCTTTGGCGGATGATTGAAAAATAAGAGTTTACGGCATATTAAAATAATAATAAATTCTATTATATGTATAATTATAAATTAATTGATATTTTCGTCTTTACTTTGTTTTTAATTTCTGTATTACCATCTTTATTTTATAAAAAATTTCCCTAAAGGAAGGATTGTTAATTTTATTAATTAAATATTAAACAATAAATTTAAATAAAAATAAATAAAAAATTAAAAAAGAATTTTTTTCTTTATAATTTTTAAAATATTAATTGATTTTTACCAATTAAACTTAAACCATATTTTGCCAAAAATTAATTTTTAATTTTAGCGACAGTCTTTAGCCTTTTTAAAAATTTCTAAAAAAGCCTTTTTTTAAAAAATTCTATGTATTTTATTTTCAAAAAGCTAATTAAATAAAGATTTTTGGTAAATTTTATTAAATTCAAAAAAAAATATTTAGTTTAATTTAACCAATATAAAAACTCGGCTAAAATCAACCTAGGTACCCATCATTAAATTAAAATTTAAAAAATTTAAATAATTTTAAAAATGACTAAAATATTTAATTCTTATTTTATTCTTTTAATTTTTATTGGATTAATTGTGATTGACCAAATGAATATTGTCTCTTCTTCAATAATAAATAAAAGAGATGTTAATGGGGTAAGTATACATATTTTAATAATTAAAAAAAATTATTTTTGATGAAAATAAATAATATACCTATTTAATTAAAAAATAATTTCTTCTTAGGGAGTAAGAATATAAAAAATTTTTATAAATAAAAAAATATTTTTTGTATCCCTATTTGTTTCAAATTTAAAAATAATAAAATTAAAAATATATAATTAAAATTAATTTTAAAATAAAAAATTTTAGAAGAAAAAAACTGTTGAAAATGAAGGGAAGAAAATAAAAATAACAACAATAAAACCTACAACAATAAATCCTACAACAGAGGATAGAAAACATATTGACTATATTTATACACAATAAAAATAAATTGAAAAGGGAATGAATGTTAAATTAAAAATAAATATTGAGTTATAAAGATAATATTAATTAAAGTAAAATTATTAATCGGGATTGAATAAAGTTATTTTTTGGTTTAAAAAAAATTAATCTTTAATCTAACGGCAAAATCCTTTATAAATTTTTGATTCGCTATTTAAATTATAAATGGAAACGTTCTTAGAATTTGTAAATATTTTTGTAAAATTATGGATAGATTTTTGTCTAAATAATTAAATTTAAAATTGAAGGATTGTGAGAGAAAGTTAAGTGTCAGAAGCTTGTTTATGGAGATACTTAGAATTGTCTCGATTATAAGAATTTGCATTTTATCCTTACAATTTGTTTTTCCAACATTCGTAATTTTGAAAAACAAATTTATTTTTATGGTTTCATCTTCAAATAACTTTACAAAAGTAAACCTAATTAATAAATAAAATAAACAGCTGGGCTGTAGCTATTTCTCTCCTTTAGCTAGACCAAAAGGTTATTCGGAGGCTGGGAGCGAACCAGCATCTTCAGTAGACCGGAAATAAAAATATTAATTGAAATTGAATAAAATTATTTTTTCCTTTAGGATTTTTAATTCGCTATTTAAAATCTCAAATTATTTAATTTTTTATTTCTTTCCATTACACCACGCCTAGTCTTTTCTTTGCTCTCTTCGCGCTTATTCTCTCACCTGCGGGGTAAACTAAATTATTCTATTTATTCAACAAAAATTTAAAGATAATTCACGTAATTATTTACAATAATAAGTAATTTATTTATTACGAATAGGGGTGTCGGTTTCACCAAATTTTTCGGTCAACCGAAAACGAACCGAAGCCTTCGGTTAATCGACTTATGTGGAGGAGTGTATGTATCTTATAGAAGTACAATAATTAATCATTCTTTATCTAATTATATTTATTTTAATCATAACTTAAAAATATTATTTTATTTTTTATTATTCTTTAATTTATTCAATAATTTAAGTCAAACCAAATTCATATTTATTTTTTGTTTTATTTTATTCAAAAGAGAGTAAAATTTTGCATTAGTGTTTTTAAATCATAAACTACAATATTTATTTCTAGCTAATAAAATTTACCAACTTTGTTTAATTAGCTGTCAATGAATATTGATAGAATTGAAATAAATGAATTTTATGTTTTAAAAATAAATTTAGCCTAAGAGAATTAGAGAAATCTTAATTAATGACAAGGTAAAAAGACAGCATATTATTTAAATAATATGTATTATTATTAATAATTCTGACAGAACTCGATAATTTGTGATAAATATGGAGGTATTTATCACCCTCCCTCGAATAATTCCCCCTGTCGATTAATTCCCCCTGCTAGAGTTGGGTTGAAACAATAATTCCCCACCCCCAAATACGCTACTGCACGTTCAAATGCCAAGACCCATTCCCCTCCCTCGATTAATTCCCCATGTCAAGAATGGATTGAAAAAATAATTCCCCTGGGGAAGTATCGAGAAAATACGGTATTTGTGTGAAATTTACCCAGATTTTTGTTCAAATAATTAAATTTAAAATTGAAGGTTTTGGAAAGAGTCAGAATAGCTTAGTTAGGGAGATTTTTAGAGAGAATTGTCTCGATTATAAGAATTTAATGCGTGCATTTTATCGTTACAATTTGTTTTTACAAAATTCGTAATTTTGAAAAACAAATTTATTTTTATGGCTTTATCTTCAAATAAATTTATCAAAAAAAAAATAAATTTAAAAAAGTAAGTCTTCCTACATAATAAATAAAAACTTTATTACATTTACTCTATTTATTCAACATAAATTCCAAAATAATGGGCATTAAAAGGGCAATTAATTTTATTAAAGTGCAAATTTTATAATGAAATAAAAAAATATTTACATTGAATAAAAAATTTTTTGTCTGTGTTTCCTTTTAATTTTTTTGTTTTTCAATTTATAAATTTAATTTTAAAAAATAATGAAATTAATTAAATTTATTATTTTCAAAATTATATTTCCAAATTTATTATTTAAATTTTTGAATGTTTATATGATGGATAATTTAATTGGAAATATTTTTTCTTTTTATAGAACAAATAATTTAAATAATGAAAAGAACAATTTGGTTTTGTGTAAAAATAATGAAGAAGTGAGTGGAAACTTTAAAAAAAATATTCTCAAAAAATTCTTTATTTTTTGATAAGAAATATTATTTAGAATTAAAAATAAGAATTTAAAAATAATTACCTAATTAAAAATAATTAATTAATTTATAAGCTTGTCACCTTTCTTGCATCAATTCAACTCGAATTAATTTCCTTTCTTCAACAAATAAAATCTGAAGACTTACCAGAATTGGATGAAATAAATGAGTATTGGAATTATTTTCAAAAATTATTTAAAGAAGAATTGTTTCCTAAATTAGAACGATTAAAAGCAGAATTAAAGTTATTAGATCAGAAAAATTTAAGGAATGATCATCCACTTCAAAAATTAATTGGGAATGAAAATAATTTTGGTAAATATTAATTTTAAAATTAAAATTAGATTAACATGAATCCATTTTATATTTAAAAACACTCCCAAAACGATACCAAAAATGCGATAAAAATAATTAAAAAAATTTTTATTGTCAATTTAAATATTTTTAAATAATTTAAAGGTGTTGAATATTTTCTCGATAAAATTTATTCGATAAATTTAAAAGAAATAATTAAATATAATAATATAAAAAATAAAGATAAAATAAAACATTTATTTAATAATAAGGAAATATTTGAGGAATTAACAGAACCTTTAATTAAATTAAACGAAAAAGAGGCAATAAAAGATATAAAAATATTAATTAAATTAATTAGAGAATTACTAGGGTTATTTAAACCTTTCAATTATAAAGATAAAATTAAATGTTTTAAACCGATTCTTGGAATTTTAATTAATCAGGAAGATGAAGAAAAGAGGGAAAAGGAAGATAAGGTACGAAAATTTTTCAATTAAAAAAGTTTTAAAACGAGATTGACGTTTGGAAGTAGTCTATAAAATAATTTCTGTTCGTATTTCCGTTTAATATTTTTAATTTCTAGATAGCTTTCAATTTTAAATCTTCTCTTGATTGTGTTTCAAAATTTGAAAGAGAAATTAAATATTTGCCTAATTCGATGATTAAACGAGAGAGAATGTGCAGATATTTTATTGACAATTGTGGGGATTTATTTGGAATATTATTAAAAATAGTTTATAATGTTGACGATTATTTAAATAATAATATTGTTTTTGATAATGCTGTTAATGATTTAAATGGATTTTTGGTAATTTTTAATAAATAATTTATTTACACAAATCATAGATTAAATCAAAACGAACATTTATTTTCTATTAAAATTATTTACTTTGTTACTGCTAAAATAAAAATTTATTGTTTATTTTAGTATTTCTTGGACGAAGAATTATCAATATTATCATCAAAACCATGTCAATATAATAACCAAGACTTTTTAAATATAATTACTAAATTATTGGATTCAACAGAATTAAAAGCTAATTTGCTTAGTATAATTAGAAATTTTAAAACGAAAATGATGGCAAGAAATGAAGAACAATTAGAACCTTGTGTTGCATTAATTTTTGAATTGAATAAAGAAAATGAGGACGTTTACAAGAATAATGATTAATAAAAGACAGTCAAAGATGGCATAATGCATATTTTTTGTTATTTTTAATAATTTTAATTTTATTATAAAAATATTCATAATCATTTAATACTATTTTTCGTTAATAAATTAGTTTTGATTAATCACAATAGTTAAGCAAATGCAAAAAATCAGTCTTAATTAACCAAATCACAATCCAGACATTTCTTGGATGTGCTAAAATCTTTGAAAGATAATAAATCCTAAATACATATTCATATATAGAAAGTTAAAAAAGCTAAAAAGATAAATAATACTTGATTACTTTAATTTAAAAAAATTTAAAATGAATTTTCTGCAAAATTAAAGTTGCATTTATTAATGTTAAAATCACAAGACTTTTGAATAAAAGGCCAAAAACTACCCACACATTAACAACAATTATAATTTGACAAATTTTTTAATAATTTTTATTTATGAATCATTTAAAGAAATGTTAAAAAATAAATAAATAATTTTGCTAAAAAATTATTTAAGAAAAGTTGGTAGCATTAAAGAAAATAAAATGTTAAGAAAAATTTAAACAAAGGGCAAAGAATGACATTTTGGGAATATTTAAATGATTGAAAATTAAAAAGAATGAACATAAAATAAATCAAATTATAATTTTTTATTACAAAATTAAATTAAATATTTTTAATTATTTTTAGATGAATTATTTAATTTTTAGTATTTTATTTTCATTTATTTTTATAATATTTTTAAAAAATTCTGTCGCTTTTGAAAAACTTTATTCTGAGGATATATTTGGGCTTTGTAATTATAAGGGTAATATTAATTTATTAGTAATTAATTAAAGTAAAAATTAAATTAATTTTTAAAGAAAATTCTGAATGTTTAAATTCATTATTTAATTTAACGGATTCAAACAGCAATGGACGTATTTCTTTTTGGGAATTTATAAATACCTTCATTATTACTCATCAACTTTCGAGCGCCCATATTTCCCGAGCTTATAAATCCAAAGAACTTCAAAATTATTTTGATTTGGCCGATAAAGATAAAAATGGATATTTAGATGAAGTGGAATTTCAAGAAGGAATTATTGGTTAAATAAATTATAAAATTATTTTTTCTATCAATTTTCAGAGCACAAAGACCCTTCTTCAATTTATAAAATATATTTTGAAATAATTGATGAGGATGGAAATGGAAAAATAGATTATGAGGAAATGGTGGATATATTTGCTGCTAAAGAAGATATGAGTTATCAAGAAAGAAATAATTTAGTTAATGATAAAACAATGAAAGAATTGTTTGACAAAAAGGATAAAAATAAAGATGGAGTAATTGATATTGAAGAATATATTTTTGAGAATGATTTTAATGAAATTAATTTAAGTTTGAATTTTAAATTTAACTTTTAATTAATTAATTATAATTTAGCAACAGAAAAGCCAAAAACAACACAACAATTAATCAAATTAAGAAAAGAACAGAATTACCCGAATATTGAGGAGTTTAATGGAAAAACAGATGAAATTAAATATTTTGAAGAAAAAATGAAAATATTATCAGAATCGTCAACAGATTTAAATAATAATAATAAAGAAGATAAATTGCCAGTAATTTTTGAATTATTTACTAAAAAACCAGAAATAATTAAAAAAACTGAAAATATTAAAATAATTAAAGGTATTTAAATTTTTAAATTTAAATATATTTAATTAAAATTAAGACCAAAATATTAAAAAGGAACCATCCTTAACAACTACAACAACAGAAACAATTATTGATGATCATATATTAAATTGGATTTATTTTGGAGGGGAAATTAAAAGTTTGTTTTTATTTATTAATAAAAATATCATGCCCAAAATTCAAGAAAATCCCTCCAAATCTTTTTGTCCCATGTAAATCCATCAACCCCACGATATTTCTTTAAATCCCACCAAATCGCCATTAATTCCGTTAGATATCTTTTAATCCCTCTAAATCCTTCGATAATCCCTGTGTTGATCAAAATGGTGCGGAAATGTAAAAATTTCGAACTCTATTTTTTAAAATTTTGTAAGTATACAACTTCATGATAAATTTTATTTTATCTAAATTCTAGCTAGTACATCTCCCCCACAACCAACACCAACAACATCTACTTTTATTTCTTCTAATAAAAATTCTTTGCTACAATTAGAATTATCGTTTTTGTGGGAAGATGGAAATTTTGATGAAAAGCTTAGTTTTGATGAATTTATTTCTTTTATGGCCAATCAATTAAATTTAAATGGAGAAGCGAAAAAGGAATTATTTAATTCTTATGCACTTAAATTGTTTTTCAATATAATGGATGTAAATAATGATAATCAATTAACTTTAAATGAATTTAAATCAGCTTTATGTAAGTATTTATATTTGTAAAATATTTTTTAAAAATTAGAATAATTCTAATTTAAATTAACAGAAATTTTTAAAATTATTTTTGGAATAATTTTATAAATTGATTTGCATTTATTTATGCAATTAAAATAAGCATATAAACACTTATCTCTCTTATCTATTTTTTATCCATTTAGAAATCCATTTATAATTTTGTTTTATTTCAATATTTAGCGTTTAAAACTATTAACTCTCTAAATTATCTTTTTTCATTATAATTTTATTTATTTAAAGTTGAAAAACACCAAACAACAAAAACTACAATTTTACAAGAAATATTTAATGTTTTGGATTTAAATAAAGATGGAAAATGGGAATTTACAGAATTTACTGATTTATTAATTATATTTTTTGAGGCTGAAAAAATTGAAGGATTACGTGAATATTTACTAAATGATGAGGAATTTAAAGAATATTTTTTGAAAGGAGACAAAAATGGAGATGGATATTTTACTTTTAATGAATTAGTTAACAAGTAATTAAAGAATTGAAGAGAAAAGATTTTTTGAAATAAATTTTTGATTTTATTTAAATTCCAAAAAAAATTCTAGCAAAATAAATTCGATTTTTATTTAAACTTTTCTTTTGTAAATTTATATTTTCTTTTATTTAAAAAATAAGAATAAATAATATTTAAAAATAAAATGTTATTTTTTGTTATTAAAATTTATTCATTCAAAATAACCTTTAAAATGAAAACATAAGACTTTAAAAATTTGAAAAGAAGACCAAATTTTTATTTATTATTTCGACAGTTGAAACATAAAAATAAATTATAAAAAATAAAAATGTTTATTTATATTTTAATATTATTTTACTATTTTTGGATATCTTCTGTTTTATCATTCCAAATTAATTATTTTAACAAATTATCTCCTTCAGAAGAAGGTATAACAAAAATAAAGGCTTTTATTTAGTTCTTACTTCTAAAAATATGCCTATCGGATAACGAACCATACAGAAGCCAAAATAAAACATATAGACGTCTCCGTCATGGTATCAAAAGCAACACTTTTTAACCGGTCCCTAGGGTAGTATATAATGTGGTTGATTGTATTTTATAAAATATTTAATAAATTCAGAGAATAATAAGAACATTCTTTGGGAAGACAACTATTTATTTGATTTGGCTGATACAAATTCTGATGGATTTATTTCATTCTCAGAGTATTCTTCTGCTTGGGGAGCTAGAAATCATTTGGATAGAGAGCAGATATATAGAGTTACTCGTTTGCCTTATTTATATGAACATTTTAAACAAATGGATATTGATAAGGATGGACTTTTAAATTTTAATGAATTTATTTATGATATAAGTAAATCATTTAAATAATTAATTTCTTATGATTTTATTAAAAAAAATTTTTAGCTTTTACTTAAACAAGCAATACTATATAATTTTATTTTTGTATCCTTTACATAGAAGTAAATCTTTTTTTAATATTTAATTTTTAGATAATTCTCGTATAAGCAGGAAACAATTGGGAAAATTATTCTTTCAAGCAATGGATGAAAATAGTGACGAAACAATAACATTTGACGAATTTCTTAATTTTGTTTCAAATATTTATGGATATAATTACAAACAAAAAATTACATTATCAAATAATATTGAAATGAATTCAATTTTCTTTAGCAGAGATTTTAATAAAGATAGAGTTCTTAATTTGGATGAATTTCTTGGAATTATAGATAAAGACCATTATAAAATTAATAAAGGTACAGGTGTGGATAATTTAAATAATTAAAAAATGTTTTTGAGAAGAAGAATCAACAACGATGACAACACATTCCAATTTATTTGAAATTAATGGTACTACTACAACAAATATTTTTATTACAATTGAAAAAATTGTTGATAGTACAATTATCTCAGAGGTTTTTAATTTGCTCATTAGAAATTAAATAGTTTATAAATTTTAAATTTGTTTAATTGCTTCTTAAATGCTTAACAAATAACCTTTTAAGAGTACAACAATAAATCAACAAGTAGAAAAAGAATCCTATCAGAACCTTTTAACACCAACAACAACGACAACAGAAGCAATCGAGTTCCCAACAAACAAAACTTCAATTATCCCAACAATACCCGATTCTTCAACACAACCATCAATAATTAATTCATCAAATTTTACATTATTATTGCCATCAACAACAACCCCAACAATAAATTTATTGGATTTACTAACAACATCAGCTAATATATTATTAACTGAACAACCAAACAAAGAAACAACCTTAAAAGAAATAACAGAAACTATTAATTCAACAATTACTCCAACAACAACAACAAAGAATATAAACATTTATAACTCATCAATATTACCACCAGCAATATCAGACACAACAAATGAACTTCCTACAGAAATGACAACGAACTTATTTAATTTTTCATTAGCTTCATCAAAAATGACAACAAATCAACCAACATTAACTGAAACAATAAACAATTCCACAATTTTACCAACAATATTTAACTCATCAATCGAACCAGAAACAACCTTTATAAATTTAACAAATCTATCAACAAGCCTCACAACGCCCAAAACTGAAGACTTGACTGATGAGAGTTCTACTACTTCAAATTTTCCTGATTTTTTAATTTCTAGTACTACAAAAAGTTCAATTGGCAACGAAGGAAAATCAACAAATTCTAATTTAAATTTTCCGGATATTATACCAGAAGATTGGCAAGTGATTCCATAAAATAATAAATTTTAAATTGTTAATTTATTTAAGATTAGAATAAATATTATCATCCAATCTTTATAATTAATTAATTATTCTTTCATTGAATAAATACAGAATTAGAATTATTTTTTAATTAAAAATAGTTCTATAAATAAATCATGTACCTCCGTTGAATAAAAATGAAAAAACATGAAACTGCAATTTTAATTTTATGGTTTTTATGGCTGGAATTTATGGCCAAACAGAACCTGAAAATTCGAAAAAAAAATTTTTTTAATTTTTGAAGGTTTTCTTTTATTAAACGTCGTCTACATAATTTTTTTCATTTTTTATTAATTAACTTATATTTTGAAAAATTATTTTTGATTAGTTATTTTTATTAGTCTTCTTTTTAATTTTAAAAGTTATTTAAATTTAGAAAAATAAATTTTAATTAATAAATAGGAAATATTAAAAATGTGGGCGTTTAAAAATATTTTGTCTGAAAACAAATAAATTAAAAAAAATATAGGAGCAATAATATTAAAAAAATTTCTGAAATTTACTAATCTCTTTTGCTTTAAAGTCGAAAGTTTACATTTAATTCTCTATAAAATAAATAAATACTTCCATTTACTACAAATTATTTAAATATTTTTTCAATTAATTTAATTAAATAAATAATTTAATTATTTTTAATGTTTAAATTTAAAAAATATTAATAATATTTTCGAATAATTAATTTTTATTTAATTATTAACGAGAAAATACGCGTCATAAAATTTTAAATAAGCGGCAACCGGTTTTTTAAACAAAATTACGTATGTAGTATATTCTTTAAAAATTTTCACTAGCAAAAAACAGAGAATATTTAATTCCACAGAAATATTTACCTAAATAACACATTTAAAACCTGTTTCTAAAAATAAAAATATTGAAATGAGTGTTACATATTAATAACTGATTTAAATAAATAAAGCAATAAAATTTTACAAAAATTATTAAAATTAAGTTGGAAATTTAATATATTTTAAAATTATATATACATATATATTCAAAAAATAATTAAATTATTTTTATTTATTTAGTTAATTTAAATAATGAATCATCTCTTTTGTTAAAATTTTTTAATATATAGCTATTTTGGTTAATTTATTTTATTCTCAATTTTGTATTAAAAGTAAGAAATGGAAGTGGTTTTAATTGTTTAAAAAATAATTAATTAATTAAATAAAAATAGAAATACAAAATTAATTAAATTAATTAAATTAAAATTTTTGTATTTCCGTTAAAATATAAATTTTATCCAATTAATTTTTAATCACGCAATATTTTTTATTTGTTATTTTAAATTAAATTTTCTTTCTTTTATTATTTTAGAATTTTGCAAATTTATATTTATAATTTTATTTTTCTTCTTTTTATTTTTACCAAAACAATAGAATAATTTATTTATTGTTTTTAAATATTTTTGTTATTTAAATGAAAGGATTGCTATAATTTTTAAATAATTGAAAGTTAATATTTGGTTATTTTGATGTTAAAATATTTGTATAGGACCTCATTTTATTTGATTATATTTGTGTTTATTTTAATACTTATTGTTAGATTAAATTAAATTAGGTTTAAGTGGGTAGAAGCTCCAAGAAATACTACAACGTTGTCCTCCTTAAATCCACCTTTTTTGAAATTTTAATCACTTTAATCCTATCAAATAAATTTTTGGTTAATTAAATTAGTAATTGCTGTTAAAATATTTTCATTTTTTGGCCCTCCTAAAATTTTATTTTCTACATAAATTAATAAAAAATCAAAACTTTTTGCAATATATTCTCCTTAAATCTAAAATCGTTATTATTACAAATTAATGACGCAATTTGTCTATCAAAAATAAATAAGGGATTTATTAGTATTTTGTTCTAATCTCCAAGTCATTTCATGAAACAAATTTATTATGGAAAAAAAGAAATCTCAAGAATTAAATATTTACGCAAATTCTTTTTTAGCTTCTTTAAATTTTTTATTTTTTGATTATTTTTGATGAATCATTAAATGAAATGGAGGGATTAAAATCCAAAAGCTAAAAAATTTTTTAATTTAATAAATTTATAAGTATTTTCAAAAATCTTTACTTTTAAAAATTAAATAATAATTTTCTTAATTTTTAATATTTTTAGTAAAGAATGTTAAAGTATCTATCAATATTTATTTGTATTTTTAATTTTGTATTCATACAAGCAATTCTCAACACAAATTTAAATAATAGGTATTTATTTAAAAATTTAAAATAACTAAACCTAGAGGTTATTCAGTCTCTAGAAGGGGTTAGGCGATTTAAATCTGTAAAATGCCGGACAATACCGATTATTGTGCTTAACTCACGATATCGAAATTTAGCATTGATCAACCTGTTTCTTTAATTCGTGGTCCCACCTTTTCCACGGAAACAATTAAAATTTTTGTTAATTTTCAATACTAAATAAAAATTATTTTATAAATTTAATTAATAGAAATAAACAACAAAAATCAAATATTTTTCGAAGAGCAAAATTAGTGCCTGCAGCTACAATTGGGCGCTACAATACAGAATGTTTTTTTACTCCTGTTAATTGCCACAGATTTACTGAAAGAGAAATCAGAGTTTTCTCGCCAAAAAAAGAAAATTCCACAGAAAAACAAAAAATTCAAAGAAATAACCATAAAAGACGATTACACTCGATTAGAAATAGAAGGCTTTAAAATTGTATTATTTATTTTATTTAGGAAGTTATTTTTGTATTTTTAAATAGAGATTTATGTATTTATTATTTATTTATATTTAAAGATTAAACAATAAACAAAGACTTTATTTTTTATAATTTTTAATTTCGAAGAGCAAAATTAGTCCCTGCAGCTACAATTGGAAAAAAAAGCGCTCGGTATTTGAACTCTCATTTCAATTTATGACTGATTTAGTATACTCCTCAGTTATTACACAACTTTTCAGACCCAACTCAGAGTTAAAGCTGACCAAAAACCGGTCATGGGCCCGATCTGATTCGAACTCAAGTTGATTACATAAGACCGGATGGCTTAGTGGTTTTAAATTTTTGAAATTAAATTAAGCACTTCAAAGGAAATAATTTCTTAATATTTAATTTTGCACTTTATCATGTAAATATTTTTTTCAAAACCAGACGTCTACACAGTCAATCAATTAGACAGTCTGTCTAACAAAAAATCGGAAAATAAATACTTTTAATTAGACGTCTGCCAGAAAAATTTTTAAACAAAAACAAAAAAACCCAAACAAAATTAAATGTTTAAAAGACAGAAGGGCAAAAATATTTAAATAATTTTAATATTTATTTGTTTAATATTATTTAAAAAAATATCTAAATTTCTTTTAAAATATTTTTATGGTTAAAATAATTAAATTATTTAAATATTTTTTATTATTTAATTTAATAATTATTTCAATTAATTATGTAAAGACAAATGATCCACCAGACAATCAATCAGAAATACTGACTAAGAATTCTAAAAAAGAATTATTTGGAAAGTTACTCCGTAAAATATTAATAAAATATTCGAATGGGGAAATTCAGATTAATGAAGAAAATGAATTAGAAAATGTAATTGAATTACCTACTCCAACTATTGTTGCATTAATTAAAGGTTTTTAAAAATCTTTTTTGGAATTTATTTAGTTATTATGAGAATCACATAGATTGAATTGCCTAATAATTACCGTAAATCTTCTAATAGAATCACACATTCCAATAGAATGTGTGTTTACGGTAAGGTATTGTTGATATCCGGACGGGTTTTGATATCGTATTATTAAAGGTTAAAAGATAAATTATTAAAATTTTCTTTATATAAAAATTAAAATTTAAGGCATTAAAGATATTTTAACAAAAAAATTTATTAAAATAAATACAGAGGCAAATAAAGGTATTGAATGCCGTGAAACAACAAAACTATATTTAGATAATGGAGGGTTTTATTTATTTCTTTGGGAAGCAAATTTAATTAAAACAAAACCAACAATTTGGGAGACGGAGCCGATAAAAGAAAAATTAATGTTTAAATGGTTTTTTGAGTTTTTTGAACGTTTATGTTATAATTTGGGTAATTATTTAATTGAAATGACAAATAAAAATAATAAATATGAAATAAAACAGCCGTTATCTGTTCAATTTGTTAAGGCTATAAAATGTTTGGATTTATTTGATTCAGAAGAGGAAGAGAGGTGTTTTAGATTAAAATATTTATAAATTAATTTTATTTGATATGTAGAGGTGTATTTACTGAAGGTGTTTTTGAAATGGCATTTCCAGATTCTGTTAAAATATATTTTGATTTGAAAGAAGATTGGAAAGTTAGGGAATTAATTAGAGAAGGTTTGTGTTAATTTTAAAAAAATAAAAGGGACACCAAAGAAATCCGAGCCTAATTAAAATTATTTCGAAAGTCATGAAGTTTTTAAAGTTAACTCTAGATAACCTGATATAGTTTAATTATAATAAAAGTTAAAGTAGTATCGGAATTGTTAAACTAATTAAATGATATTAAAAATTATTTAGATAATTTATTGACCTTCAAATTATTGTCCGAAAAAAGGTTTTGGATAGGAGAATTATTTTGGACACTTGAATGGATTACCCATAATTGGATGAATATGGAAGATGCTTTAAATAATAGACTTGATGAAGTTTTTTTTAAATTAAAAATTTTTAAAAATATTCTCCCTTTTATTCAAATAGGATATATTTACAAATTTATCAAAAGAATATATTCCAAGTTTATCTACTCGACTTTTAGAAATTATTTGGAAAAATGCTGAAATAAAGAAATTAGAATTAAAGCCAGATATTGTAATTTTAAAATTTGGAACAAGACTTGCTGGACGTTTACTTCGATTATTAACAAATAATGCTATTTTATATTTTAATCAGCCATTAAATATTAAAATAAAATTGGAAAATCTACAGGCAGAATTAAAAGATAAATTTAATATAAAAAATTTGGAATATGCTCAAAATAATCTTTCAGTTGTTATTGATGAATTAGTAGGCTCGGAAGTGTTTATACATTTTGAAGAAGCTTTAAATATTAAATGGCATAGTTATAATGGTGAGGAGAATTATTTAAAACTCCGTTTTATAATATCCGTCTTATAGACTCCGTATTATAATATAATAATACTTAAGTTACTTAGTTATTTTTTAAGAAGCATAGTAAAATACCATAGATAATCCTTTAAGGGAAGCTTGAAATAAAAAATTAAGACTAGAAATTTTATGAAATTATGATCTTGTTTCATTTAAGAATTTAATTTCCAATTTTCGATTTATTTTTATTTACGAAATACCGCTTTAGTAAACAGTGTCGTACTTGTCCTTGGTTCGAAAACAAAATCGGAGGGGTACGAGTAAGAGCAAAATCGAAATTTTCCAGGATTGCTAGTAAATACAATAATTTTTTAAAATTAGAAACAATTTATAAAAAATATTTATCAAACAATTAATTAATAATTAAATTTATTTATTTAGTTGTAACACATTTTATAAGAAATATTCATAGACATATTTTGGTGATATTAAATTCTTTATCTATAAGAGAATTAAAATATCATGATTTAATTACAATTAATAAAGAATTTGAAATATTTCCGGAAATTTTTTTACTGAAAGAGCCAATTAATTTAATTAATTTAAAAATTAATGAATGTAATAAATTGTTTGAAAAATGGGAAAATAAAAAAGAATTGACTGTAAAAGAAAAGAAAATTTTATTTAAAGAATGGGAAAATAAAAATTCTGAATTAAATAAATTATTGGATATAATTAATTTAAAAATAATTAAATTACTAAATTATATTTCTGGAGAGCAATTAATTTGGGGAAATTAATGGAAGAAGTGTGTGAAGAAAGAGATTTTTAAAAAATATAAAATTAATAAAATTAAAAATATAAATAAATATTGAAAATTCTTATTGTTATTTAGTAATAATTTGTTAAATAAAAAATAAAATTATATGTAAACTCTGTTAATCATCCCCTCTTTGTAGAACTTATTAAAAATCTTATATTAAATTTCGTCTAAATTAATAATTTAATTTTAAATAAATATTAATAATTTCAAGAAAATAGTTATCCTCTTAATCCCTCAATTTTCCCTTTCATAAGTTGTAGGTCTTCCTGATCAACAGGCATTGAAGGTCTTCAGAGGTGGAACCAAAGATAGGTAAGCTATTTTGACATTTTTTATTGATACCTATACTTTTAAAATTTTTTAACCTATTTAATTTTTTAAACCTATTCCTAAAAAACTCTTTAGTTATAAGTAATAAAGGATTAATTTTTAATATTTTTATATTTAAAAATAAAATTTTAGCATTTCGTTTGTAAAATTCGAAAAATGATTATACATAAAAATGAAAGCATAGAACCGCCTAAATTTTTGACTTTGGGGATAGGGAAGAATTTCTGGTTTCTTGCCCTTCTGAACTCCAAAAATTTTCACCTGAGATGCTTAAATGATTATGTATAATTCTAAAAAATTTTGTGTGATTTGTATATTATTTAGAAAAATATAATAATGTAATTTGACTAAAAACTAAAAAAATTAATTTTAAACAGAATTTGAAAAAATACATACTTCTCTTTCAGAAATAATTTTTTGTAAAATTATGTAAATTGAACAATTTTAAAATAAAAATGATAACTAAAATTTAAATTTAGATAACGGAATTACAATCCCAAAAATGTTAATTTTTAATAAATAAAAATTCTTTAAAAAATTTCTCAACTAAATTAAAGCTCTCCTTCAATCAACTTTTAATTTATAACTTTTTCGAACTGATTAATTTTTAAAATCAGGTAAAAACTCAATGTCTTCCAACTCATCAAAAAAGGCTAAAAATGAAAATAATTTTTGTAATTATTTTAAAAATAATACAATCTTCATTGTTAATATTTGCCTTGATTTGATTTTCATTTAATTGGTTACCTATAATAATTTAAAATTAATATAAGTAAGTTTATATTAATTATTTAATTATTAAACTTACTAGACGATGGATTGGTATGTTGTAAATTATTTGTTGAACTTTGCAAAATTAAATTTGGATTAGTTTCTAAATTATTAAAATATTTATTTAAATTATTTAAAAGTATTTAGTTATTTTTAAATTTTGGAGTTTGTAAAAAATATTTTTTTAGATTTTTATAAAAAAGTAAATTTGGTGTTAACGTAGATTTACTTAAAAATATTTTTATTTTTGTTTAGAAATTATAAAATTAACAAAAATTAATCCCTTCCTTCTACTCACCTGTATTAGTTGAAGAAGATGCTTCAAATTTGTGATTTTTATCTATTATTTTTTGATTATTAGTATAGAAGAAAGAAAAAAAAAGATCTTTTAAAATATTTTTTTTTATTTAATTACCAAATTCCATATCGACAGCTGAATTCATCGTAAACGCATCATTCAATGATACTTTGCTAGTTGTGTTGATTTTACCCTCTTCAATATCTGATAATTCGGCAAATTCATCTAAAATATTTAAAAAACAAATTTTAATAAACTAATTAACCATCTAATTTCTCTGTTTGTTCATTATTTTCTATTGCCATTTGTTCAACTTCTTGGTGTTCTTGTTGTGGGTGATCAATTATTTTATTGTCTAAATTATATTTAAAAAATTTTTTGTTAAAATTATTTTAATATAAAAATTTTTGTTAAATTTTTATTTTACTTTAATTTTATTTTTAATTTTGGAATATTAAGTTTTAAATTTTTTGCTTTAAAATTTAATAAAAAATAATAAAGTAAATCTCTATAAAATTTAATTTAAATAATACGTTGAGAATGATTCATTGAGTCATTTTCTGTTGTTTCTTCGTTTAAATTTTCATTATCCTCCATTATTGGTTCTTGAATATTTTCTTTGTCTTTACCTATTTTTATAAAAAAATCCTTTTTGAATTAAAAAAAAAATAAATTCTTAATAATTATGTTAACTCGTAAGCTTATCAGGCTGCTTTTTTGAAAATCAGTTATATATTAAAATAACTTTTATAAAATAAATATTATAACTTAACCTTCCAAATTTTCTGATGTTTTTGAGCTGTTGACTAAAACATCATTTTCTATAAAAATATTTATATATAATTAATTTTTGGAAATTAAGAGTATACCGGAACCAATTTAAAAACAAAATAAAAAAAACTTAAAAAATTCGAATTATTTAAAACCACCCTAACAAAAATAAATTTATTTACCAATTATTTGATTTGTTTCGATAATTTGTTTATCTTTTTTATTTTCAATATTCTCATTTATTTTCAAAGCATCTTCAGTCATATTATTCTCATTAAACTTGCTATTAAGCACTTCTACATATTAAAATAAAAATTAATTTAAATAAAACAATTTATATATTTTTAAAAATACCAAGGGCAATTTCTTCAGCAATTTTCTCATCTTCTAATGCTTTACTTTTTCTAGCTTTGTATTTTCGAATAATTCTTGGATTTTTAGTTTGCTTACTTTTACTCGTTTCTCCTTTTTCTAACACAATTTTATTTTTATTTTTAACATTAAAAACTTCTTTTTCCAAATTTTTATTCGAATCTTTCATTTTATTTTCATTTTTCTTTTTATTAGATTGTTTTGTTTTAATTTCAGGAACTGGTTGTTTTCCTAAAAAATTAATATTATTAAATATCAAGTTATAAAAACCTTTTTTTGAATTATTTCGAAGTCCATATTTTTGTTGAGAATTTTGTGCGGAATTATTTATTTCATCCAAAGATTTGATTCTGGACCGAGTGCTCTTAAATAAAATTAATTTACAAATAAATAAATAGTCGGACCCCAATATCTCACATTAAAACTAATTTATTTATAACTTTGGTCTGAAAGTGTAAGTGACTTGCATACTCTCCCTTTAATGTAAGATTGTATGTGCAAGAGGGGTGAACTTTATTGAGGTCAGATTATATTTTAAAATACTTTGGTTATAACTGCTGAGCTCTTTTCTGAATTTTCCATATCCAAACCACAACTAAATTCCAGCACTCCTCTTGGTTTTACTTTATAAATATAAATAATGAAGATATTATAATCAAAAATCGCTTCATTGCATTGAACTTCAGCCCTCTTAAATTTATTTTTTAAAAATTATTTTTACACTTTATTAGTAATTTAAATGTTCGACTTTTTTTTAATTTTTAGTCAATTACCTAGAGAACCTTTAATTTCTAATTAAGGTAATAATTTAACACAAAAATTTTTTTAGTTATTTATCTTCTTTCACAAACAGACTAACACTTTTATTATCAGTTTTACTGACAATGAGTTGGTAACTTATCCTTTTTCTATTATTCTCCCACTTATCTACAACTGTTAAATTAGATAATTTAATCAACCGAATAGCTTAAGCTCAAAACTCAATCGAAAGTTTTTAACACAGCCTAAATCCGAAATACAATTTGATCTAACTGAAAATTTGTAGTTATGGACAGCCCTGTTTAAAAGAACTGTCATTGTTTAAAGCTTTTCCCAGTACTTTTCTATTTAATAATTACCTTATACTCATTACTAAATTTTTTCTTATTTTCTTTCTTTTTTTCGTTGTTTCTTTTTCGTTTATTTGTTCCGTTTTCGTTTTTACTATAAGTAATAAAATAATTATTTGAAGGACAAATTCTCCCTCTTTCAGCAATAAACAAACCACCATCTTCTTCTTTAAATGAATTTATTTCGTTAATATTTTTAATTTTTTTTGAACATTCAATAGAATAAATTATATATTTATTATCTGGAAAATCTAATTGAAATTCAAGACTTTTATACGGAATCTCAAAATCGTCTTCATATTTCCTTTGAGCAATAATTTTCTCTTTTAAAGAAACTTCTACAATATTTTCTTTATATTGCAAATTAAATTCTCCAGTAAATAATACCTTGAAAATTAATTTTAGTTAAAAACTGACTTTTAGATAAACCCAATGGATGAAAACTTTTATCTTATAATGAGCTTTACCTTAGATAGAGAGTTCAACTAGATAGCAGTGTTTGAAAGTTCGTTGATATGAAGTATGTACGTGTACGAGGAGGAAAATTAAGCATGTAAGATTGTGAGGGAAAAATAGGGCTTGTACTGAAGTATGAGTACGAGCAAATTTCAAATTTCGAACACTACTAAAGAGGTGCCGGCCGGCCAGAAATCTGGCCGGCCGGCCAGAAAAAATGCATATCAAAAACTTTGCAGTTTCTGGTATGCAAACTTGTCTTAAACTGAGAAACTAATATGTATCTATAATTCTGGTGGTTACACTAACCTTTTCTTTATCAGTATTTCCCTCTTTTTTAAATTTAAAAACTTTTATTTTAAATTTATTATTTTTTGTTAATTTAATTATTTCATTTTCTTCTTCATTTATTTTCCCTCCCATTTCTTCAATATTTTCTTCAAAATTAAAACTGGCAATATCATAATCTTTAGTTTTTAATTTTTCAATTTCTTTTTCCTCCTTTCCAATTTTATAAAGATTTATTTCAAAACGAGGAGAATATTCCATTTTTAAATGCTTCAAATTATGTATATTTATCCAATTAACAATTTTTATATTTATTGTTAAATTGTCTCCATAGACATAATTTTCTTTATATTGTAGAAGCAATAAATAAATAAAAATAAAATAACAAATAATCATAATTTAGATTTTTTTTAATTTAAAAATTTAAAAATAAAAATTTTTTTCAATGTAAAAATAAAAAATAAATTTTTTTAATGTAGGGTAAGGCAATAAGGGCAATTTCACAATCGGTGAATTCACTCCTCACTATCAATTGATTTTATGATTGATTTTATATCTTTATTTCTCTGCTTTTAAAATTTATAATGAAGAGATAGAAAATTAATTTTTTATAGCTATAGCCGCTTCTTCCTTTTTTTAAACAAATTTTTTTAATTTTTATTTTTAAAAAGGAAACATCGACTCCAAAAATTTAAATGGGTTATTTTGAAATTATTTTTTTCAAAATTAATAAAGTTCTGGTATTCTTACAATAAACGAAATTTAAAAGAAGTTATGTTAAATAACAAAAAAAATTATTCTTTATCGAACACAAATAAATGTGAAACAATAATAAACTCCTGGATCTACAAGGATCACTTATGGAGACTCATACACAATTACCTTTAAATATTTCAAAATTAATAGTAAGGTTATTTTCTGATGTTTTATTGTCGGGATTTTTACATAAAAATTTATACAATAAAATTTACACAATAATGAATTAAAAAAATTTTTTTTTAATTTCCGGATATAGTATTCGGTAAATTATTTGTTTGTTTTGTTATTGTTCTAGATTGATTCGTGTTAGTTAACATTCTTGAATTATTTTTTTAGTATTATTTTTAGCGAGAACAGTAACACCATGAATGTGAGTAACTTTGTCTTTTTTAAATATTTTATAAAAAAGTTTTTTGCTGTCATTTCGAATTGTTTTGTTTAAAAGTAAATAGATAATTGGTGGAAAACCTTTAAAAAAATTAAAAAAAAATTTTTTTTTAATTTTAATTTTAAAAACCATGGACATGAAACCAGCTAAATGTTGCTGTAATTATAATTGCTTCATTAACCTCTGCATATTGCATATAATCGTATAAACTTGCCGCAGTAAAATTAATTACACTAATTAAAAATATTTGAAGAATTATCTTTAAAATAAATAAATTTTTTTTTGGAAAATTTAAAAGAATTTTACCACTAAATCAACATTCGAAACTTGATTTGGAGCTGATGCCCCATACATTCTTTTCTTTATAAATAAAACAATTGCAAAGCAAATGTAGCAAATTGGAAAGAAAAAAGCTAAAGACATATTGTGGATTGAATGTAAAATTGATGAATACTTTTTTAAATTAAATAATTAATTTTTTTTAAATAAATAAATTACTTGTTCTGTAACATTTTTATATCCCCCAACATATGGTTCAAAAAACCAAGCAAAATATAAACTTGAAAATAAAACTGGTGGCATATAAAAAACCCAATAAATTGCATATAAAGTTATTATAGACAACCAAATCCATGTTTTTTTACCTTATTTATGAATAAAATATTTTTAAATTTTTAATTAGAGCTTTAAAATTAATAATTTAATTTTTGTAATATTTTTAAATTTAATTCGGTAATGGGGGAAAATATCACCCAAAGTGGTAATATACCCAAGGGTTGACATTTAGAAAATTCTCATATTTTTCCTTATTTAATTCGTTTTCATTTAAACTTTATTTCATCTAATACTCTTCAACTTAAATAAAGTTATGGCATAAAAAATGTGTCCTATTTCTTTTATGTCACCTTGTATAGTGGAACTTTTCAAAAATTCTTCACATTTCAAAAATTACTTTTTTATTTTAAATAATTATTATTTAATTTTAAAAATATTAATTAATTACCTGTAAAAAGTGCAGAAGAAATCCTCGGTGATATTGTATCCAAACATCTGTTAAAAGCTAATGTCGCCTCGGCAACTGTTTCAGCTGCCCAAATAGCTATTATAAAATTTAATTTTATAAAAACTAATTATTTTTTAGGAACCATTTCCTAAATTTCCGCTAATGTAGACAAGTAAAGGGGAAGAACAAAAAACAACTCCCGTCATTCCAAAAATTGCAGTTTCAAATCCACATATCCAAAGAATTAATAAATCGGTTACGCCAATATAAAAAAGGAATTTATAGCAAGCATTATCAATATGTTTCCAAAATGAGAACATGCAAGGAATATATAAAACCTTTTTTAAATAAAATAAATAAGATAATATGAAGCAAAGTTTATATCGTTTTGACTTGGAAGATTCGTTAGGGGGGGGGGGGGGGGGGGAGGGAATTAGTGGGGATTATGTTGGGGGATTTGGACTAGAGCCGTTTCGAAAAAGAAAAATCTTCGAAAATCAAGAATAATTTCCAAAATTTTTGAAATTGAAAGAAAAATTACCTCGAATATCGAAATTCCGAAACAGCTCTGATTCGGACCGAAAATCGGGATTGGGATTTCGGAATTTAAAAACATTGAGATTTCCTATATACTTTTTGGTATTCGATTAATTTTAAGTTTGTCCAAAGCCCACAACTTTTATTCTAAATTTAATTTAATGTTGAGAAAAAGCTATTTCGGTATCTTTTAAAAATATATTTATTAATTCCTTACATAATAAACAATAAAAAGCAGCATCAAAATACTTCCAAGTATCGGACTTCTTCGTGTTTCAAGGGGTATATAATCAACATTTATACCTACACAATTATATTTTCGATTAAATTCATGAGGGCGCCAAATCATTAATTCCATTTTTGAAATAATTTTTATGAATAAATTTAGTAAATTAAACTTAAAATAAAAAAAAAGTAAATTTCAAATTTTAATAAAATGCCTTAATAAAAAATAATTTTTTGAAATAAATAAAAAATAATTTGTTTCGTAAATATAAATGGATTATTCAAATAAATAATTTAAAATATTTATTAGATCGAACATTAAAAAATAGTAATTTTCTTTTTGGAAAGCTTAACTTTTCACAAAATTGAATAATTAATTAGTTGACAAGAGAATTTTAAATATA